TTTCGCTGACCATCCATTGTAATGCTGAGGGATGTTGCATTGTCAGAGGTGCTGTCGTCCGGAAGAGAGGTTAAACCGAGGTCCCGCCTGTCTGTTCAGGTGGATGTTATAGACTCTATGGCTCTGTTCAAAAAGAGAAGAGAGTTTCTCCCAGTGTCCTGGCCAAATAAAAAAATTGGTCATTTGTTTCATGGCTGTTCGTAGTCATTGCTGTGCGCAATCGTGCTGCCGCATTTGTCAACAAATACACAGTCACTACACTTCACAGTAAATCCTGTGACGTACTTTGAGATGTCCTTGTAACATGATAAGGCACTGTATCAAATGCAAAGATTTTTTTTTGTTTATAGAAAATTAAAAGTGGTTCAGTGGCTCCCCCAGTGTTCTTTGTGAAAACTTAACTTTAAAACTTTGAAAGTTCAGTGATTAAACCACAGCCAATACGCAGTTTTCAATGTAGGATTCTGTAATTAATGTGTTAAATAATATCTCAATATTATATTTGTGATATCTCTATATTTCTGATATATGATCAATCTCATATGATGGGATCTGATTGTAACTAGCTGCACAGAAGAAACAAAAGACTGTTCATAAACAACAAACTGTTTTCAGTCCTTATCAGTCATTTTCTCACGATAAAATGGTCGACAGCTGGAGAGAGCTGTGTTGTTATAAAGCTTTATAAATGGAATCTTGTTGTTGTTGTTGTTGTTGTATTTTTTACAAAGACACCATCTTGCAAAAGACAGTAGGGGAAAGGAAATTGTATAAACGGAGATCAATTCAGATTCGTGTCAGGAGGATATCTCAAGGTATTTCACTAGAAAGACTGTCAAATGTCGTGACTGTGTGTTTCATAGGCAAATCCAGCAGACAATTCTATACACAGCAATGTCCCACAGAACTAATGGAACAAGTGACCAACTTTATTTGAGGAATTGTTACCCAGGACCCATGAAAAATTTGCTTGTATTTTCAGAGTGCCATGGGATCTTTAACATCCACAGGCAGACAGGACCTTGGCTTGACCTCTCATTTGAAGGACAGCATCTCCAATAACTCCCAACCTCCTCTCCGCCCTGGTCTAATTCGGATATCAACAAATGGTTCCTCACCTGTTCATCTGTTCCACAGAAGTCACGTCAAGATCCTTATCTTGCAGGAATCCTATGTGATTCAGCGATTCCTATGTCAGCTATTGCTACTCAATGAGCCGGGACACAACAAAACTTGTGGGGCAACATAGCAATGGTACCCTTAGCAATTCTCTGAATCGTGGAGTCCTGTAGTGGTTAGAGCACTCGCTTTGCAAGCGAGAGATCTGAGTTCAATTCCAGGCAGAGGGCGAAACCTTGGGCAAGTTTCCTTACTCCACACAGAGCCTAATAATAATCCCCCCAAAAATCAAAAACAATAATAAATTGGTCATTTTCAATCTACAACTGTTTGTGGGACATTGCTGTACGCAATTGGCTGCCGCGATCGCCCACAAATATACAGTCAATTCACTTTACTGTGCATTCTGTGAAGCGCTTTGGGACGTCCTCCCGACGTGAAAAGCGCTATATCAAATTCAAGGATTATTATTATTACTATTATTATTATATAGCAATGCAGACCTAAATCAGGTGATAAGTCAGTGTTCACTTACAAAGCATTTCTCGTCTCACCTTTTTAGTGTAATACGTCAATCAGTGCACTTTTAACTATTCGAATGCCATAAATGTCTCAGAAACAGAGGATCTACCAGAAGAAATTGAGATATTGGAGTGGGTGGGTGGAGAGATGGAGGGAGAGAGATTATTGTGTAACAATCTGTGATGATAATAATAACATGATAAGACTCTATATCAAATGCGAGGATTATTATTATTATTATTATTATTCCCCCCCTTTCTCTGCATTGATATCACTATTGGTATTATGATATCGCTGTTACTATAGGATTATTATTGCAACAACACATCATTGGTAGAGTAAAACCAACCTGTCTCATGAAGGTCTAATCTCAGCTCACGTTCCCTATTAGTGGATGAACTATCCAATACTTGGTGAATTCTGCTTCACAATGATAGGAAGCGCTAACATCAAAGAATTAAAAAGCGTTCATGCTATGAACACTTGCCCACCACAAGCCAGATATCCCTGGGGTGACTTTTCTGACGCTGATACCAGTGATGAGGAATTTCAGTTGTGGGGAGAGACTAGAGAGGCTGGGATTATTCTCCTTAGAGCAGAGAAGGTTGAAGGGAGGTTCAAAATTCTGAGGAGTTTTGACAGAGTAGATAAGGAGAAATTGTTTCCTTTGGAGGGTGGGTCGACACAGTTTTATGATAATTGTCAAAAGAACCAGAGATTTGTTACGGTCTGGAATGCACTGCCTGAAAGGATAATAATAATAATACTTGCATTTGATACAGCACCTTATCATGTCTTTGAGACGTCTCAAAGGCACTTCATGGAATATACTGTAAAGTGAATTGACTGTATATTTTGTGGGCAAAACGCTGCAGCCAATTGTGCACAGCAGTGTTCCACGCACAGTCGTGGATTGAGTGACCACATTTTTTTTCAAGGAATTATTATTTCCGGAAAAGCGATCCACCAATCGACTAACATGCGGGTTCCTACGTACTGCTAGGTAAACAGAGACATGTGGAGTAAGGAAACTTGCCTAACCTTTCACCCTGCCTGGGAATCAAACCTGGGTCCTTTCATTTGTGAGGTGAGTGCTCTAACCACTACCCTACAGGACTCTACGAACACCCTTTCCGAGGTGTTCCAAATGCCAGCCTTGAATCTCACTGGATATGGAGTGTCAAAGAAGTGCCATTGAACCAGAACAGTCAAGCAATCAATCAGACACCTATTGTTTTCTGTGGCAAACTCCATTCATACAGGGAGTATATGGTTGCGGTAACTCCTGGTGTCACATAACACACAAATATCCCCCAATACTCACAGACACATAGACATACACACACGGCATTCAGTAAAAATAGAGGGAATGACCAACGTTCCCACAGAAAGTTAAAAGGAAGTGTCCGTGGTAATACTCATGGTTTTCCAAAGCTGTAAACACGGTCATGTTCTTAAATATTCGTCTCGGTCAATAACAAAGCTTCCAAGGGGAACATCTAGTCTGGAACAGAAATTGTTGCAGGAAGTAGCAAAAGATAGTAACCCATATATTGTCACTCACATCCCAGGCCACAACCATCAACACGATCCAGACTTTGAGATACAACAGCAAATTCTATTTGTATAGCACCTTTCATGTCAGGAGGATGTCCCAGTGTACTGGATAATAATAACTATAATAATAATAATAATGCTTTGCATTTGATATAGCACCTTATCATGTCTTCGAGACATCTCAAAGGCACTTCATGGAATATACTGTAAAGTGAATTGACTGTATATTTTGTGGGCAAAACGCTGCAGCCAATTGTGCACAGCATTAGCATTAGCACAACTCGAAATATGAACCAACAATCCAAATTGGTGTAACGGAATTTATTATTAAACAATAGTCAAAACACAAACAATTACAGAATTAAAGACATACTACCAAATGATCCTGTAACACTTGTGGGCAGTTCCTTGCAGCAACTTAATATCGCATCTCTCTGTGACTCCTTTGGCAACTGTCCAGAATACTAACAAACCTCTATCTTATACTTAAACCTTATCACAGTCTGTTATGTATATGTAAAATATGGATTCAATGCTGTGAGCAATCACAGCCCTTCTAGTCTGATTATTGACTATTTTTTACTCCAATCCTGATTTGTCTCAGGTCTTTCCAGTCCACAGACCCTTGGCTATTTTGTACCAGCCACTTCCAGCCAGTTTAAGCTAGTCCTACTGCCCACTAATAACCTCTACTTTGCAACCACACTTTCAGCTATGCAAGCACTTGGCTTTTACTTTGCACGCAACCTTAGTTCCTTTAACAAAGCATCTTCTAACAACTGCTAGGGTGTCAATCAGCATGCCAGAGGATGCAATTGAAGATGCAGAGGCAATTGGGAGGTTGTGAAGGAGGAACAGGAATATCTTTTGTCAATGCACCAATATGAGGAGAAGTACCCTATTTGAATAAATAATAATAATAATAATAATAATAATCCTTGCATTTGATATATCGCCTTACCAGGTCTTCACCGAATATATCGAAAAATGAATCGACTGTGTATTTTGTTGGCGAAACACAACAGCCAATTGCGCACAGCAGTGTCCCACAAATAGACGTGGATTGAATTACCAAATTATTTTTTTTATTATCATTATTTCTTTTGAAGGGATTGTTACACCTACTTACTTCAAGGTGAACAGAAGGCTGTGGAGTAAGGAAAGTTGCCCAAAGTTGATTGCCCAGGAATCTCACCCAGGTCCTCCCACTATGAGTGCCTTAACCACTAAACTACATGACTCAACAATAAAGAGATTGTGCAATTATTGTTTGAACAGAAGCATTTGCGACTTATTTATAGCTGAACAGGAAAATCGAAACATTTGATTTCTGCGTTCAAATAATGGGTTCTTGAGTTTCTTTTTCACTCAGATATTGCCAGTGTAAGTTCAGACGAAGCGTTATTCCCATGACATAGAAATACATAATAACACTTCAATTTGAAATAGTGTCTTATCACAGCCACAAGATATCTCAACGTGCTTCATAGGATTAACTGTAAAGTGCAGTGAGTGTGTATTTTGTAGGTGATCCATCTAATTTGCACACCACAATGTCCCATATAAAGCCATGAAGTGAATGGCCAATTTTTTATTTGGGGGATTTTTGGCCAGAACACTGTGAGGAACTGCAAGTCAGTGTGACAAAAATCCATTGCCTTATTAACAGATCCCGTTAGAAATTGCTGCGCACTGGAGCTCGACTGTATACATATTGTCAAACCTTTGTGTTTCTTGTTCAGTAAATGTAAAGCATTGGATTTTTTTTGTTCATTTATTGCAATGTGCAAATTTGTTCCACAAATATTTGTTGTACAGAAACCTCTGATGTCAAATCAAAAGCATGTCAAACCACACATGGAGTTGAATTGCCCGACTTCCCTCTTCTGTCGTAAATGCAGTTATTTCATCTTCTTATTATTATTATTATTCAGACTCTATATTGCCACCCAAGAACAATTTGAAGCAGCACATACTTGTACCACAGTCCTTGTGTACCCGTAAAGAACCAATTATTGGAGTGTTCACTTTTGTCCAGAATGGTAATTGGAAACCTCAATGAGATTATTGTCCGGATCTCTGAAGTAGACCGAGACGATAGGACCCACTGCACCCGTTCGTTCAACGGGACCTTCTTCAACGACAACACCGTATTTCTGCATACGAAATGTTAAGAAACATTTGGTCAGCATTATCACTGAGAGCAGCAACAAGGCAACAAGTATTGCAAGAAGAGCCATCTTTAGCCAAGCCTAAAGGTAGCAATCTACTCATCAAGCAAATTCTTATTTTAAATTTAGTGCGTCTGATTATTTTTCTAATTTTTCTCCCCGTTTGATAAAAGCTTCTGTATCTGGTCTCTCTTCCCACTGGGGTGCGGTTCCTCAAGCATTGATTGCCCTCTTTGGTACCCGCTGAAGTGGCCAATGTTGTGAGTCTCGGCAGGTCACTTATCTGTACAGCCGAGCCCGACTCTCTTCACTAGGCTCCCACACAATTATTTTGTTACCACAGCAAAAAATGTGGATGTCCTATTTCAAGGGTAAGAACATGTCAAACTTTACAGATTGAAGACATTCATCATTAGCACAGGTTTTACCAGCCCTTCAGACCTGGGAACACGGTAAACAACAACAACTTGCACTTATATAGCGCCCTCCATATAGGGCAGCGTCGCAGAGTGCTTAACAATGGCGGAGCCTTCCTCTGAGCCAGGGGGAGAGGGGAGGGGGGAGGTGGCCGTAAGCACAGTCGAAGATGAAAGTTTTCAGGCGGGACTTGAAAGAGGGAAGATCGGGGGCAAGGCGGAGGGATTGAGGGAGAGTGCTGAATGCTGAATGTTTTCAGGGGAATTAGTGCTATAAGTTACAGTAAAGGCAAAGCTCTCTTCAACATCTAGACTCTGCTTACAAAGCTCTCTTCAACATCCATTTCTGCCTACACAGTTTTAATACTTAGATTGAAGCACTCCAAGATATGGGGAGCACTGTATAAAGGCAAGTTGCAGTAAGTTGTTGTCTGACTTTGAATGAGTCAAACAATAAGGAGAATAGGAGGGGTGAGGGCTGGTGTGCAAACACTGGCATGTAATAGTTGGGCCAAATGTGGAGTCCTGTAGCTCAGTGGTTAGAGCATTCGCTTTGCAAGCAAGAGACCTGAGTTCAATTCCAGACAGGGCGAAACCTTGGGCAAGTTTCCTTACAAAGCCGAATAATAATCCCTCCAAATCCAAAAACAATAATAAATTGGTCATTTTCAATCTACGACTGTTTGTGGGACATTGCTGTGCGCAATTGGCTGCCGCGTTCGCCCACAAATATACAGTCAATTCACTTTACAGTGTGTTCTGTGAAGCACTTTGGGACGTCCTCCTGACGTGAAAAGCGCTATATCAAATGCAAGGATTATTATTATTATTAAATGGCCTCTTTCTGTGCTGTATCAATCTACGTAAGTCTATGTAATTGAGTGACCAACTTTCAGATGTTCCATCACTTTATTGATCGGCGTATGGGTAATCAAACAGAGGTCTATGGATCCTGGTGTTGGCCTGTGTGCTTTCGGCTCAAACTCTTTTCCAACCTCGTGCAAGTTGAATTTCTGATTCCCAAAGGACAGTGCCTTGCGGTTACCCTGTGAATAGACAATGCAACAGCTTACTCACATACATGAAAATCACAGAACCTAAAGTTCAATCAATATATTCCCCTCAAGTAGCCTGTACTCTCTACAGTAAATCCTACTCTGTTTCAATGCCATGAGAAATCAAATACAGGGAGTTGTTATTAGCAGTATTATTTTTAAAAGATTTTAGTGTTCATGAACCCCAAAAAATTGTGTGAGACAGCTGCATTATTTATTACACTCAATATTGAATGAAGAGTGACTTTTATCAAAAAATAAGCTTGTGTTAGTTAGTAAGTAAACCGTCACTATACGTGGGATTTCCCCCTCGGATGTGTAGACTACATGGGAATGAAAAGCACTAATTGACAGTCGACTTGGCTTCTTTCAAATGTTGAGTCTAAACTCTTGCCAAATGCAGATAAGATGTTGTTTGGGAGAGGGAAATGTGTGTTCTTTGGATGCAAAGAACCAAGTCTTGGGGTTTCCCGCATATACGTTAGGATACTGCTGAGAGTTTAACTAGTTAAAGTTGCATAGCCAGCCAACTCCAGCACTATTTAGTAAGTTTCATATTGTCTCCCTTACCTGTTAGGGCTTTGGCTTGCAGTGTTAGCAGCAGCTGAGTAAGAAGAATCAGCCCCTAGTTTCCCATTCATTTGCTGTATAATTTCCAAGAATCATATATCAATATATATAATGCAATAATCTTTTGCTTCCTACAGATTCTTGAGAAGGAGGAATGAAACCTCTTTCTGAGAATAGCCCAGAATTGTAATCCTTATTACAAAACAATTATCTCAACATGCCAAGGTTCCGTGAAAAGCTGTGACGCAGTATCCAATCTGTTCCAGACACTACCTGCAAACAGCAAGTGAGATAAGACAGCAATTAATCTGCTATTGTGAAAAAAAGTAATAAATTAGTCATTTCAATCCACAACTGCTGTGCGCAATTGGCTGCCGCGTTCGCCCACAAATATACAGTCAATTCACTTTACAGTGTGTTCTGTGAAGCGCTTTGGGACGTCCTCCCGACGTGAAAAGTGCTATATCAAATGCAAGGATTATTATTATTATTCTGTGAAGCATTTTGTGACCTCTAGAATGAGGGAAAAGCGCTATATCAAATGCAAGGATTGTTATATTATAATTTTGATGAGAGAACATTGACTAAGACACTGAGGAGAACTGACAGCTCTTGTTTCAAAAATTGCCAGAGGTTTTTTAACCTGAATCACCAGAACAGCAAGAAAGGAACTCAGTTTAATTTCTTGTCCAAAGCACAGCACCTTCACAAAGGCAATGCTGGAGTCTTTCCTTGGATTAAGCTCTCCAGTTCTTGTGTGGGACATTAAATTCACAATAAAATTCGTGGATAGTATTATTTGTGGCTGAAAAGCAATGCAGATGACAGTCAGGGTATTGGTTAGAGCACTCGCCTCACAAGCGAGAGGACCCTCAGTTTGAAACCCCAGCAGGACGAAACCTTAGGCAAGTTTTCTTACCCCACACGCCTCTGTTTACTTAGCAGTTAGTAGGAACCGTGTGGTTAGTCAACTGGCGGATCGCTTTCTGGGGGTAATGGTTTGTCAGCCAGATGCAGTTGTAGCATTCTCGCCTCTAAGTCAGAAAGATGTGGGTACAAGCCCCCACGTTGGGACTTGGAATCACATAGTCTAAGCTGCCACTCCAATGCAGAGCTGGAGATGTGTTTCATTGTCGGAGGTGCCGTCCTTCGGATGAGATGTTAAACCGACGTCCCATCTGCCAATCCAGGAAGATATTAAAGCACTATTTGCAGGATTATTATATTATTATTATTTGAAAAGAGAAGGGAGTTTCTCCCGGTGTCCTGGCCAACAATCCCCTAAAATAAAATTGGTCACTCACTCCATGGCTGTTTGTGAGACACTGCTGTGCGTAAACTGGCTGCTGTGTTTCGCCCACAAAATACACAGTTAATCCACTTTACAGTGTATTCTGTTAAATGCTTTGAGACTTTTCAATGACCGGATAAGGTGCTGCATCAAATGCGAGGATTATGGTTATTAATATCTTGATGAATAATCCTCCAGTTTACATAGTAGTGCACTTTGTGGCTGTCTGCAGCACATTGGGCAAGAACAAACCAGGAAAACACTTGACAGTAATAACTTGTGATGTGTTTAAATATATATGATATAATTAGGTCCCATAAAAAATGCAACTCCTTCACAAAATTGTTATGGTTGTAAGCTTGCAATAGAAACCAATCTATTTCTCAATAAAGATAAATGCTTTGTTGTTTGAAAAAAATCTTTCCACTTGTTCAAATACTTCTCGGAATATCCTTATCTCTGTTCCCCACCTGCCCTTGCAATTGCTTCCGTAAAATCTCTTCACACCCTGCCCTGCCCTACCTCATCCCTTGGAAACCTTACAGTGCTCACCCCACCTGTTTATTATCGAACGTCATTTGTACATTCTGTCACTTGTGCTGTCTTCAATGCTCTTTACTGTCAGAACAAGGTGATCCAGGCCTCTGATCTGGAATGGTGGGGTGACAAAATTCCGACTGATCTGGATCAAATTCTGCAAGAGTAGGAAAGGAAAGATGTGAACCATGTATTGGTAAAGCCCCCCCACCCCAGGTATTACTGCTTCTCCTTCCAAACACTGGCACTGACACACCCAACAACATACCCCATGTAGCAGCCATGCCAGTTTCTCCAATGCCTCCTTGTGTGACAGCTCGGCTTAGTTGGTAGTTCTCTCAACTCTGAGTCAGAAGCACCCCCAGCGCTGTACTGGCTGATATTCTAGCACAGTGCTGGGGGTGCTGTTGCATTGATGGAGATGTCAGCCATCAGATAAGACATTATATTGAGGTCCTGTTCAGTTGGATGTTGGCGATCACACGGAACTATTCAAAAAAAGTTTTGCTCTCCCAGTGTCCTAGCCAACAATGTTCCCCAAATAAATATTGCTGTTTGTTGTTGTAGTAAAACCTTTGGAAGTAGAATATCGTTGCATTTGGTAAAGCACCTTAACACATGGTTGAAACATCTCAAAGAGCTTGACAAGATTAACTGTAAAGTGCAGTGACTGTGAATTTGTAGCTGAATGCAGCAGCCAATTTGGACACAGCAATGTTCCCCAAACAGCCATGAAGTGAATGACCAGAAATATAAGGAATATGGTGAGCAAGTGGTGAAGGAAATAGTGGATGTGGGAGTGTTTAAGCCCTTGAAAGATCTGTAACAGAGGGGATTGATGGACCAAAGAGCCTCCATTTATTCCTAATTCCTATTTTGTATCAGTATCTCCTGAGCTTTACAGTAGAGCAGTGATTAACCTGGTAGGTTGTAACGTAGTCTAGTTTACAATGAGGGGAAGGTGTAATTGCTGCCATCATATTACCAGCACCAAAGGAACATCCAATAAATCAACTGAGAGCTCCGAGATGCTATCCTGGATGAAGGGCTTTATATAAATGCAGTTGTTGTTGTTGTTGTAACACAGAGAGATGCCAGGAGTTGGTGACACAGAGGTGGATGGGAGCAAGAAGCTTTTGTACAGTATTAATTCTTGCATTTGGTATATGTCAGGAGGACATTGCAAATCACTTCACAGGATTTATTATAAAGTATAGTGGAGACTGTGTATTTTGTAGGTAAATGCAACAGCCAATTTGTATATAGTAATGTTACATAAGCAGAGATAAAGCAAACGACCAACAATAACAAATGGACACGTCACAGGCTGCTGAGTGGAGGGAGCGAACAGGTTGATATGGGGTCAGCAGGTCTCAGAGGTTAGAGGGGCCAAGACCACGGAGGGCCTTGAAGACGAGGATGAGGATTTTGAACTATATCCTTTGGTTGATGGAGAGCCAGTGGAGCCGGGTGAGGGTGGAGTTGATAGGGAGGGTCACGGAGCGTGTTGTGGAAAATTTTATTTGGGGGAATTATTGGCCAGGATATCGACCGGGTGGAAACTCCCTTCACTTTTCGAATAGTGCCATGGGATCTTTAACATCCACCTGAACAGGCAGGTATGACTTCGATTTAACGTCTCATGTGAAATTTGACTTCCTGACATTACAGTACAGCTTTGGGTGACTGCTATTCACTGCTCCACTCAGAGATTTTGAATGGATTATGTTTTAATCTCATTTGACCTGCAGGAAGTGAGGTCCACCCAGTTTTCATGGATTCAAAATGCCAGAGCATGAAGGAATGCTGTACTGTACTTAGTTTGTTGAGATCAGCTGGCAGTGACGCATTGAGAAGAGTTAAACAATAGGCCACCAAAAACAGAGGTCGCTGGTAACACTCAGCAGGTCAGGCAGTATCTATGTTACGGAACAGCTCACCTTCCCCCTCCTCCTCTTCTGTGACCATTACCACATCATCTTGGTTCCAGACACACTTTTTCTCTCCCTGATCTCCCCCTCCCACCCCTGCCCTCCACCCTCCCCCAGCCCGACCCCCAGCTCGGGTCCGTAACTCTGTCTGTCCGGTGCCTTGGGACATCCTCCCGACGCGAAAGGCATTTTACACATGTAATTTTGTTGTTGTTGTTGTTGATCTGCCTGTTTTGTTGCAAGTTCTTTTCTCCCACTTTTTCTTCTGCAGTATTGACACCAGCACCAATCCCCTGCTTGATTGCAACCTCCCTACTTCGTTCTGCACCATTTATCACCTCTTTAACCCATCCAGGCAGGGCGAAACCTTGGGCAAGTTTCCTTACTCCACACAGAGCCTAATAATAATCCCTCCAAAACCCAAAACAATAATAAATTGGTCATTTACAATCTACGACTGTTTGTGGGACATTGCTGTGCGCAATTGGCTGCCGCGTTCGCCCACAAATATACAGTCAATTCACTTTACAGTATGTTCTGTGAAGCGCTTTGGGACGTCCTCCCGACGTGAAAAGCGCTATATCAAATGCAAGGATTATTATTATTATTATTATTATTATCATCCCTTGTCCTCTACCCCATTTTCTCCTTTGTTGGTAGTTCTTTCAACTCTGAGTCAGAAGCACCCCATGCTTCACAGGATTATACAGTAAAATACAGTGATTGTGCCTCTGAAAGCAATGTCCACAAATCATCACTCATTTTATTTCATAGATTGTTGGCCAGGATCAGTTATATAGAGATACGATCAGTTCTGAAAGCTTCTTGTGTTCCATTTGTGAAATACCTTTGTGACAAGGGATATTTGAACAAGTTTTTGTTGATGAATATAAAGATTGCACATTTTTTTTCCAGCAAATAAAAGAAAATAATGAATGACTGGAACAGATTGGCAGGAAAAGTGTTTCAGGAAAACACATCAGTACTGGAAGCAGAACTTGAGGAAGGGTGTTGGAGGCCAAGAGGAAATTGCATTGAATCAGGATTAGAATAAAAAGGTTCAGTGAAGTCTGGCCCTGTTTGCGTAGCCTCCTGCTGTTATGCTGCAGTTTCTCTGGTACTCTGTTTGACCCCATGAAAGTCTACGCCAAGAGGAATTCCAGTTGTTTCACTCCATTTCCGCAGAGCAACTGGTTTAGTGGACACTGGGAGTACCTTGAGGAGGAAGATTTAACCATTAATTTCAACCATTCATTCCCTCTTCCCATCCTCCAACACTCTACAGGACTCCTCACCATTGGTCTTATTCTCC